GCTGAGCCTCTTCCTAAGAACTGAAATAATTATGTGACATGTGCCAGAAGGCCCAGGAGTCTTCGGAGTCTTGAAAAACACTCCTCAGTTGGCATTTTTTGGCCAAGGCCCCTCCCTTTGCTAACCCCACTCACTTTGTGTCAGTGTAAGAGGTTTCACACCCAAGGGGCCCCATAGCAGAAAAGTAAGTGATTTGCATAAGCTCTTCCAGAAACACAAGGCTCTTTGGAAAACCAAACTCAAAGAGGACTAAACTAGTACATATTCAAGCATGTTAAATTTTCTTTCATAATAAGCACAGATAACTCGAGGAACCACTCCTCCTTCCTTTACCTATTCATCGCTCCCCCTCCAATAGAATAAAATTTCTTGTAAACTTTGTATTTTCTTCCTGCCTGTAAGCTAGATGGGCAGGCATGCTTCCTGTTTCATGGATGGAAAGCTCATGAGGCTGCCCAGTCATTCAGCAAAATCAGAGGTGGGACCCACTTATACAATTCTCCCAGCTCTCTAGTCTCTCATGCACCCTGCTTTGTCTCACTTTAGGAAGTTGTAGGCATGAGGAGCAAACAAGCATATAATTAACTACAAATAGGTATTTGTTTATGTTTTGTTGTTTTGTTTGTTTGTTTTTTGAGACGGAGTCCCGCTCTGTTGCCCAGGCTGCAGTGCAGTGGTTTGATATTGGCTCACTGCAACCTCTGCCTCCCAGGTTCAAGCGATTCTCCTGCCTCAGCCTCCTGAGTAGCTGGGATTATAGGTGCAAGCCACCACACCTGGCTAATTTTTGTATTTTTAGTAGAGACAGGGTTTCACCATGTTGGTCAGGCTGGTCTCGAACTCCTGGCCTCATGATCCACGGCCTCCCAAAGTGCTGGGATTACAGGTGTAAGCCACAATGCCCAGCCAATGTTTTGTTTTGTTTTGGAGACAGGGTCTTACTCTGTTGCCCAGGCTGGGGTACAGTGGCATAATCATGGCTCACTGCAGTCTCAACTTCCCAGGCTCAGGTAATCTTCCCACCTCAACCTCCCCAGTAGCTGGGACTACAGGTGTGTGCCCCCATGCCCAGATAATGTTTTGTATTTTTTTTGTAGAGATGGTGTTTCGTCATGTTGCCCAGACTTATCTTGAACTCCTGGGCTCAAGAGATTAACCTGCCTGGGCCTCCCAGAGTGTTGGGATTATAGGCGTGAACAACCATACCCAGCCTAAATAGGTATTTGGACCCACTTTATTAATTTGGTGGGCTTTATTTTTTTGAGACAAGGTCTGGTCTCACTTTGTTGCCCAGGTTAAGGTACAGTGATGCAGTCACAGTTCACTGCAGCTGCTACCTCTCAGGCTCAAGCAATCCTCCCACCTCAGCCTCCTGAGTAGCTGGGACTACAGGCATGTGCCACCCCGTATGGCTAATTTTATTTATTTATTGTTTAAAGACAGGGTCTCACTATGTTGCCCAGGTGGGTCTCAAATTCCTGGGCTCAAGCAGTTCTCCCACCTTGGACTCCCAAAGTGCTGGGATTACAGGTGTGAGCCACAACACCTGGCCTAGTGTTTAAAAACACGGTGTGTTTAAACTCTAGGCACAAGTTAGCCTGATCCTTGTCATTTTCTGCCTAAAGCATATTTTGTCTTACCTCTTTTTTTTTGGCTGCAGGTTAAATATTGCTCAATTATTTGGTTCCTCTAATTAGAGTTTACCCTTTAGAGAGATAGGATTTGACCTGTTTTGTATCTTACTGAGGCCTAAGTATTTGAGGGATTCTCCATAAATACTTATGGATATGACAATGGAGAGAAGAGAGGTAGACTGTACAGAGTGGTACAGTGGATAAGAACAAGACCTGGAGACATAGAACACTCTGAAAAATCCCACTCTGATAGTTAGCTGCTACCTGTGATGCTGAGTACCCCACCTTACTTTCTTTTCTGATTTTCAATTGCCTTCCTTTGTAATTTGAAGACAATAACCATTTCAGGACCTAGCCTGTAGTTCCTGGCACATAGTAGGGGCTCAGTAGACATTTAGATAAATAATTAGTACATATCCCACTGGACTGTTATGAGGATTAAATGAGATAATAAATGTCAAGTACTTGCCATAGAACCTAGTGTATACTAGTTACTCAATAAAAGTAGCTACTCCTGACTATTTGGTCATTACTAGTATAGTAGTCCCCTCTTATCTGTGGTTTTGCTACCTGACGTTTCAGTTACCTGTGGTCAACTGTGGTCAGAAAATATTACATACAATAAGATGTTTTGAGAGAGAAAGAGCATAAATTTTATTACGGTCTATTGTTATAATTGTTCTGTTTTATTATTTATTGTTGTTTATCTCTTGCTGTGCCTAATTTAGAAATTAAACTTTATTAAAGGCATGTATATATAGGAAAAACACAGTATAGAGAGAGTTTGGTATTGTTTGGGGTTTCAGGCATGCACTGGGGGGGGTCTTGTAATGTATCCCCCAGAAATAAGGGAGGATGACTGTATTTATGATTTTATTTAGAAATATATGTATATAGAATACCATAGTTGGTTAGGAATCAGAAAACCTAAATTCAAATCCCAATTTCATCATTTTTTAATTAATTTTATTTTTTAAATGGATGAGAGGTTTGTGTTGCCCAGGCTGGCCTGGAACACCTGACCTCGCCTCCTCATGTGCCAGGACAAGTGGCCTTTAGGGAGCCAAAACTTTTTTAAAAGTAGAGATAGGGTTTCACTGGGTTGTCCAGGCTGGTGCCTAACTCCTAGGTTCAAGTGATCCTCCTGCTTTGGCCTTTCAAACTGCTGGGGTTACAGGTGTGAATCACCATGCCTAGCCCCAGTTTCATTATTTTAATGTAAAAAAAGCTTCTGGATTTAGGTTAAAGAGATTCAGGTATGAGACCTGGCTCTGTCTGGCTCTGCTGTGTGACTTTGGATAAGGAACTTTTTTTTTTTTTTTGAGACGGAGTCTTGCTCTGTCACCCAGGCTGGAGTGCAGTGGGGTGATCTCAGATCACTGCAACTTCCACCTCTTGGGTTCAAGCGATTTTCCTGCCTCAGCCTCCTGAGTAGCTGGGATTATAGGTGTGCACCACCACGCCTGGCTAATATTGTATTTTTAGTAGAGACAGTGTTTTGCCATGTTGGCCAGGCTGGTCTCGAACCAGGTGATCCACCTGCCTCGGCCTTCCAAAGTGCTGGGATCATAGGGGTGAGCCACGGTGCCCAGAGTTTCTTGTCCACACAGTACTCTCATACCCTCGTAAGTTCTTGGGGGTGGGGGGATGGTACTTCTTTAATGCCAATTACAAAAAGAATGACCAACAATAGCAATTATGTCCCCTATTAACAAAGTTTACAGAGGGTCTAGAGTGAATAATCTCTTCAGGAAATATTTATCAATAAATTTTTAATGGCATGGGGGCTCACGCCTGTAATCCCAGCACTTTGGGAGGCCAAGCTGGGTGGATCACAAGGTCAGGAGTTCAAGACAAGCCTGACCGATATGGTGAAACCCCATCTCTACTACAAAATTTAGCTAGGCGTGGTGGCAGCGCCTGTAGTCCCAGATACTCTGGAGGCTGAGGCAGAAGAATTGATTGAACAAGGGAGGCCGAGGTTGCAGTGAGCTGAGATTGTGCAACTGCACTCCAGCCTGGGTGACAGAGTGAGACTCCATCTCAAAAAAAAAAAAAAAAAAAAATTAATAAAGCTGTGCATGGTGGCATGTGCTTATGGTCCTAGCTACTTTGGAGGCTGAGATGGGAGGATGGCTTGAGCCCGAGAGTTCGAGGCTGCAGTGAGTTGTGATCACACCTCTGCACTCCAGCCTTGGTGACAGACCTCACCTCTTCAAATAAATAAACAGTGCGTTCCAGTGGCAAGGTGAAATAATTTACCTTCTGATCAAGAGTACATGTAATGCACTTAGTAGATTCCTGCTTTAATTCATTGAGACCCGTTTAACATTACCTTCCTTGGTAGCTCTTTCGAAGTGCTGGCTCGTCTGTAGAATTTACACAGCACCTTGACTAACACTGTCTTACTTGACTCTTCACAGGAGCTCAGAGGGTAGAAGCAAGTCAGGCATTATTTATCCCCATTTTTCCAACAGGAGAGGGGGTCCAGGGAAGTGTGGCTAGCTGGCCAAGGCTTAGAGGCCGAATAACCCAAGAGTTGGAATTACCAGGCTATCCCGACCAGTACTTCTCCCGGATACTGGTTACAATCCTACAGCTTAGCCTTGCTGGCTGCGTCAGTTCCAAGAGGCTTTTCATTCAGTCTTCTAGATCCAAAAGGTTGTGTGCTCTAATTCTTGTTTTGGAGATGGCCAACATTCCAGGCTGTTATGTTATGTGAGCACGTGGGATCACAGCCAGTCAAAAGCCAGGACTTATCCAAGTGAAGTCATAAGCACCAAAGGGATCTTGCTAGACATGCGGATTTCTGGGTCCAGTCCCAGACAGAGCCTGATTCCTAATACTTTGGCTTTGGCGTTCAAAGAAATCTTCCCTTATCACCCAAACAAAAGTAGCCCATCTAGTCTGATTAGCACAGTAAATTCTGTCTTCATAGATACTAGACAAGAATTTGTTTATTGTCTCTTTCTCCACCTTAGCATAAATTCCATGAGGACAGGGACTTTATTAGCCTGGTTTAAAGCAAACCTGTTTCCTAGAACCCTGCAGCCCCCACAGTACGAGGTCAATATTTACTGAATCCAATGTACATTGAAGTTTGAAACCGCTGTCATATACTGCTCCTTCATTTTACAATAGGGAAACTGAGGCCCAAGAAGATGGAAGTCACCGTTGCAGGGATGGTAAGGGGCAGGGCCAGGATAAAATCTCTTTGGGCGTTCAACTCCGCCCAAAGCAATTCTTTAGAAAAACGACATCCACTTGAAAGAAAATACATTTCCTGCCCATAAATACTAGGTTTCGCAGCGGGGAGGAGGGCCTGGCCTGGGTGAGGGGTTTGGTAATTCCGTTCCCACTTCTCAGGCGCCCGCTGCCCGCAAAGGCTAAGGACTCGCCTTCCAGGCCCGGAGTCGAACCCATCTCCAGGTAGTGTCGAGGCCATGCCCGGCGGCGACGAGGCGCGGAGCACAGTTCACTGAGGTGCGGACGGTTCACCTAACTAAGGTCACCTAGGCGGAGACTGAAGGGGCCAGGCCCATTGGGTACAGGGGAGGGGGCGGTGTTGGCGCGTCCTCCGGGCGGATAAGGGTCCTCCCTTCGGCCTCCTGGAAGTCAGGAGTGATACTAATGGCTCCTTCCCCACTGAATCTGGCACTCAGCCTAAAAAGCGCGAGCAGGTCCGGCCGGCCGCGTGGCCCGGTCCCATGTGCTCCACCTGAGGCCGCCCTCACGCGCTGGCCCTTTAAGACACCTCCCCTCCTCACCCAGTCTTCTCTCCTATCCCCCTCAGCGCCCCCACCGGCAACTCCCGAATTGCATCAGGCACGTGCTCGCCCCCGTCGGGTCTGAGCGTTCCTACCCCCAGCCCGGGAGGTGCTCTGAAGAGTCGGCGGCGAGGGGCGGGGCGAGGGGCGGGACCGCAGGGCTGTGCGCGCGCGCTCCCGCCGCCTTCTGCCTGCCCGTCGCCCAGGGCCGGGCCGGCGGGCGCGCCCCCGCTGCTCCGTCCCCTCCCCTCGCCCGCCGCGTCGTGAGGCGCGCGCCCGCCCGCCGCCTGCCGCGGATCGCGTGGTCTGCTCTGCTCGCCGCGCCTCTCCCCCGTCCGTCCATATTGCTGCAGCCCCCGAGCCGGGAAGCCCGGGCCGCCCCGGGGGCGGGGGGGAGGGAGGGACGGGACTAGAAGCCTGCCCGGCTCGGGGTGGGGGCGTCTTGCGAGGAGCGGGCGGGGGGGGACGCACGCCGAGGAGGCCTGGACCGCAGAGTGGGGAGCCTTCCTCCCCCCCCGCCCCTCTAGTGGGCCTCGGATTTACAGCGGCTGCACCTAACTGGGAGGGGGCCGCGCCTCGCGTGAACCCCAACCCTTCTTCGCAGGGACTGGGGCCCAGCGCCCCTGAGGAAGGCGTCGCGGGCGCCCTACGAGCCAAGTTCGAGGCGGGGGAGGCAGCCTCGGGCGCGCCCGGCTTCTCGGGGGGGGGGGGGCGGGCGCGCAGATGGCCACTCAGGTGGAGCCGCTGCTGCCTGGGGGCGCCCCGCTCTTGCAGGCCGAAGAGCACGGGGGGCTGGTGAGGAAGAAGCCGCCGCCGGCGCCTGAGGGCAAGGGCGAGCCCGGGACAAACGACGTTCGCGGGGGGGAGCCGGACGGCGGCGCTCGGAGACCCCGGCCGCCTTGCGCCAAGCCGCACAAGGAGGGCACTGGGCAGCAGGAGCGCGAGAACCTGCGGCCTCTGCAGCCGCCGGGCGCCGAGGGCCCAGCCGTCAGCGACGGGGAGGAGGGCGGCGGCGAGCCAGGCGGTGGCGGAGGACCTGCCGGAGCCGCGGCCGCGGGGCGCCGGGACTTCGTGGAAGCCCCCCCTCCCAAGGTGAACCCGTGGACTAAGAACGCACTGCTGCCGGTCCTGACCACCGTGAACGGACAGTCCCCCCCAGGTGGGTCTCCCTCCTTTCCCTCCTGGGTCCGGGGCCTCTTCCGGGGACATGGGAGTCCCCTCCCCCAGCGCCTCCAGGGCCCCGGGGTCCGCTACCGGTCGTGGTGACTCGGGACTTTTGAAAATTGCCTCCTGGTTGATCCTGGTCGCCGCGCCCTCTCCCCACCGTACACTCGGAAACCTGCCCCTTCCCGAGGGCCAGGCCTCCGGGAGGCTACGGCCACCGCCTGGGCCGCAGCGGTTAGTGGGCAACGGCGTGGTCCGGGCCTACCTCGTCGGCGGAGAGTGGGCGCTGGTTTCAGTGAAAAGAGCCCCACCGCATGCTGGTAGAGGAGACAGCTTCTGGTTTGAACCTTCCTCGGGAAGCCCTTCTTCCCACCCCGCCCGGCGCTCCCCGTTTTGGTAGCGTTGCGAGCGTCCCCATGTTGTAAATGTTTAATGAGCATATGTCACGGGCAACCCAGTGCCCGGCGTGGAGTACTTGCCGGCCGCACGGATTCGGGGATTAAAAGTTAACAAGGTTTGTTCTCGGGGAGATGATATTGGGCGGTAGAATCTCCATTTGGAGATGGATTGAGGGGTCATTTACCGGGAGAATGGAGAGAAACCCGTCGTGTTACCGAATCCGGTGGTTTCCCTCCCCGATCCCGGGCACCTTCCGCCTTGAGAAGGAGCCTGAAGGCGAGTGTGCTGGGGGAGCCAGTTAGAAGGTTTGTTGGAAAATGAGGCGGGTGAGGGGCCTGCGGCGACAGGAGGGGCGTGTGGCGGCGGGGGAGGGAGTGTCCGGGTTGGGCGGGCGGGTGACAGTTGGGCGCCATGCGCTGCGCCGGCGTCCCACAGGCCGCTTGGTCTCGGCGTTCGGCGCGGGCCGCGTCGCTCGGGGTGGCAGGCGGGTGCGGGCCCGCGCCGCGGCCCGATTGTGCGTGTGCGCGGGTGTGTGCGCGTCCCCCCTTCCCAGCATTCCTCTGCAGCCGGGACAACGTGGTGCCTCCCCGCGCGGGGAGCGGCATGTGACTGCCGACCGGCGCTCCCCGAGTTCTCCCTCTCCTTCCTCTGCGTTTTGGTCCTTTTGGACCGTGACCCTTTCCGTGGGGAGGTGAGGGTGCAGGAAATCCCAGCAGAGCCATGCCAGCCTGGGGAAGAGAGGCGGTGCAGAATATGGAGTCTGCTCTGCTCTTGGCTTGCCTTTGCCGAGAATAGCTCGTCCGCTTGGTTGGGGGGCGCGCCCACTCTCCTGTCTCCGCCGGCGGATAGGGCGGGTCTCCATTCTTTGGTTTTGGGTCTGTTTGAGGTGGGTCGGTTTTAAAACTGTCTTGTAGTTAGAAGGATGGCCCTCTGGTCGTAGCCTTGGTGCTGTTAAAAAGCTCTTCTTCTGCTGTGTCTGGTTGAGGCTAACTAGTTTAAAGCATTCAAAAATAAAGGGGAAGCTTATGTCTACACAGTCAAAGTGGAATCACTCCTAGTCCTAGGGAAGCCAGAATAGCTAGTCCTGAAAACATCATGTTGCAATTTTTATTTCTTTTCAGGTTGCTTCATTTGGAGGAGGGGACATTTCGGGTTTACTAACAGTCCGTCAAACTGTTCTCTTCCTTCTCCCTCCTCCCCTTACCCCCTTGCTCTTCCAGAACCCTCTTATGCAAAGGACAGTGCTGAAACCTCCGTTGTCTTTCACGTCCCTCCTATCCACCCACAGAGTGAGGGAAAACAACTTTAAAACACTCTTTGGTCTTTCTCCCTTCTTTAAACTCAAAAGGGTATAATCATCCCCGGGAGAGAGCACTCCTCAGAAGTTTAAATGGGGCTACTCATTCTGGCTGCTGCTTGGCTAATGGTGAACCTGCCTTGTGGGTTTTCAATCAGCCATGACATCAGGTGGTATTGGGTGCCTGAGCTGGCATTTTGTGTAAGTCCAGGAGCCCTTGATAGTGTGCGTCACTGGGGTTACTGATCGTGGGAAGAAAACAGCTTGGCTGGCATCTTGCCTTTCCCCTGAGTGGAGAAGCTGATTGGCTTTAAGTGCCCAAAGCAAAATTCTTGAGTGGAAGTAGATTTGCTCTGTTCATGTTTTTTGTAATCTTAAGGCAAGAGAGCGTCTACTTGGTTTAGAACCTTTGGAATGGGTTTTGACAGCCTAACTCAGTTAATCAGTAGCTTCTCTCTCTAAGCCTGTTGTTAGGACTTGTGTGCATTTTGAGAGGGAATTCTATGATTGGGTTGTCAGTCTGCTAAGGCTAGATGGTGGCCCTTTCTCTGGAGCGTACATAGATCTCTGAAGTGCTTTTCCAGCTCTGGTATTATTTACAGCTTCGACATATTTAAATGTGACACTAGTGGAGTGGTTGTGTGGTCTTGGGAATTGTTGAGTTCTGTGATGCATATGTTTTTGGGAGTCTCTGTAATAAGTACCTCATAAGCAAACTACAAGCTTTCCAAAGCTTGCTGCAAATGCCTATTTTTAGCCCTCCTTTTGGCTCAGATGTTGGTGTTTTAGTTCTTTAAGGGACACTTGCAGTAAGTAGTAATAAAATACGTTTTGTGATATCTCTCCTTTCTTGTGGAGTTCTGTATTCTGGTTTAAACATCCAAGTCTTAGATTTGTAGTTTTAAATCTTGGGATTTGCATTTTGGCTTTTTGGATCTCCTTCTCTCCCTAGAGTATTTTTAAATGTTTAAATTCTTTTCCTTATTCTAGTCATACCCCTTCGAAGTATAAGATCCAAGATGTCTAAGTTAAGAGATGATATATGGTGAAGGTTCTGGGGTCACACTGGGTGGGTAACTCTACCACTTGTTAGCTGTGCCTCCTTGGGCAAGTTGTTTAACCATTCTATGCCTCACCTTCTTAATTTGTGCAATAGGTATTTATGATTTACCTGCCTCATGGAGGTATTATGAGCATTCATTGTTACGATATATGTATTTAGCCCGGTGCCTGGCAGGTGGTAGTTGTTACTTACTGTGGGTCTTGGTGGGACTTCTCTCTGGGTCTCTGTTTTCCTCTACCTGTAACATGATGGGGTTGGTGAATGCAGACCTTTCCTTTTCTTGTGTTATATCAGTACTCCATGAACTGTATGGGATCTGTCTTCTTAAAACTTGACTTTTACTTATCTACAAGGCATGGGATGGATAAGTTAAAGGTTAGTGACTCTTAAAAATTGGCTATTTTTTGCTTTGAAATGTGGTGAGATGAATTTTTAAAAAATAAGTTTTAACTTTTTAATTTGCCTTTTGTAAAGATTCTCTTTTGGGGGAATTGCACATGTACTCTCAGGAATATGAGGAAAAGCCAGCCTAACTGAACTAAAAGTTTGCTGGTTGCTGGTGCATGTGTAGTGCCTTGAGACTTGAGTACAGATAATCCTTAATTTATGATTTTTTTGACTTTATGTTGATGGGAAAGTGATACACATTTAATGGAAACTATTTCAGGTACCCATACAACCATGGTTTTTCACTTTCAGTACAATATTTAATAAATTACACGAGACATTCAGCAGTTAAAGTTGGCTTTATGTTAAATGCTTTGGCAACTTGTAGGCTAAAGTGTTCTGAGTGCATTTAAGATATGCTAGGCTATGCTTTTTTTTTTTTTTTTTGGAGACAGAGTCTTGCTCTATTGCCCAGGCTGGAATGCAGTGGTGTAATCTCAGCCCACTGAAACCTGTGCCTTGTGGGTTCAAGCGATTCTTCTTCTGCCTCAGCCTCTTGAGTAGTTGGGACTACAGGTGTGTGCTACCATGCCTGGCTAATTTTTGTATTTTTAGTAGAGATGGAGTTGCACCGTGTTAGCCAGGCTGGTCTTGAACTCCTGACCTCAGGCAAGCCGCCTGCCTTGGCCTCCCAAAGTGCTGGGATTACAGGTGTGAGCCACCATGCCCGGTGCTAGGCAAAGCGTTGATGTTCAGTAGGTTAGGTATATTAAATGCATTTTCAATTTAATTATATTTAGATTTTAATATTTTATTACTTTTTCCTTCTTTATTTTTTATTGAGACGGAGTTTCACTCTTTCGTCCAGGCTGGAGTGCAGTGGTGTTATCTCCGCTCCCTGCAACCTTTGTCTTCTGGTTTCAAGCCACTCTCCTGCCTCAGCCTCCTGAGTAGCTGGGATTATAGGTGCACGCCACCACGCCCGGCTGAGTTTTGTATTTTTAGTAGAGATGGGGTTTTACCATATTGGCCAGGCTGGTCTCGAACTCCTGATCTTGTGACCCGCCCGCCTCAGCTTCTCAAAGTGCTGGGATTACAGGAATGAGCCACCACACCCGGCCATGGTTATTTATTTTTTAGACAAGGTCTCACTTGGGTTACACAGACTGTAATGTAGTAAAACAGTCATGGCTTACTGCAGCCTCAAACCCCTAGACTCAAAGGATCCTCCCACCTTAGCTTCCCTAATAGCTGGGACTACAGGTGCACACCATCACACTGGCTAATTTTTTTCTGTATTTTTTGTAGAAATGGGGTTCTACTATGTTGCCCAGGTGGTTGCAAACTCCTG